CCCCACCCCCCTGTGTGTGTGTTGATCAAAGAGGAACGCTTGTCCGTGGCCAGCCTCTATTTACATAATATATATCACTCAGTCTTCACTTCTTCACTAAGAAATGAACTAAACTACCAGTATTTTCACTGGTAAACGTGAAATCCAAAACATCAGGAATCAGTACCTCTCAATGGACAAGTATACAGTTTAAAAGAACGGTTTTATATAACAACTTTTCAGAACAAAACACAGACTGGGTCCGGATGTTAAATCAATTCTTGAATGAATACAGGTGCATTTTAATTCTTTTGGTAAGGGAAAAGATGGATGACAAAACTCTAATTCAATCGTGTTAACAGTTGTATAGAATAATCAATGATCAATAAAGTTCTTCAAATTATGACAAACCACAAGTGTAATGCAGTTACCAAGCTATGTTGTGGACCCCTTCCCCTCATTACCCGCTGACCCATCCCATGATCAGTCGATTTTTTTATGAGACAAATAACAATCATTATATTTTCTGCCGTTGGCAAACTTTCGAGTTCATTATGCTACCTAAGTATAACACTTTTTTCTTCACCTGAGCAACAGAAAGAAAGAGAACAGGCAAAAGAAGCCAGAAGGCAAATAGAGGACATGAAATCCGATATACACTTGCTTCGTACGCAGAAAATGGATCTCGACAGTAGGATCTTGGAGATGAAGTCGACAATCTCTTCCCTTGAAGAAGAACAAAGAACAACAGAAGGTGCCCTTGAGGAAAAGCAGGGTGAAATTAAGATGCTTCAGGAAAAACACATCGAAACAAAGTCAGATGATTCCCAAGTTACATTACTTTCTGAAACCTTGAGACAGAAAGAGGCTGAAATTGAGGATTTAAAACACCGTCTGGAATTATCACCTCTAAAGGTCTGGTCAGTAAGTGCAGATGACCCATCAAATCCTGCAACAAATTTCACCACTGAGGCTGCTGGACATGATGGTAGAAGAGCAAGTGAAGAGTTGCATGAATCCATCAAAAGAGAAGATCAGAAAAATTCAGCAGAAGACATAGACAGCAGTGTCAATGAATCTGCCCATACGAGAAATGAGGAATTCACCGGGCATGTTGATGACACAGGAAAAGATGGAGAGAGATTTGAAAACGCAAACGGCAAAACTGGAGAAGAGCAGTCTCAGCAGCTGAAAACTTCTCAAGGAGATATTCCAGGAAACAGCACCATTTCTCACATTAATGAAGGACAAAGAGAGAATGCTAACAGTTATAAGAATGAGAAAGAACCTTATCTAGACAAGAAAAGGTGCACTAATGACAATGCATCTAAGGAAACTGAAGATGATAGAAATCAGGTGCAAAAGCAAAGGAATGAATTTGGAGTGAATGATAAAGGTGTGATGAAGTTAGAAATGCAAGAGAATTCAACAAGCAGAGGAACAACAAAAGTGACCAAGGACCACATAAGGAAAAAAAGAGGTAAGAGACGGCAAACAATTGTTAAGCGCCAGGCAGATGAAAGTGGCATGCATCCTGAAAGTCGTGGAACTGCAAGCATGAGAAACAGAAAATTCTTGAAAGTAAAAATGGGAACCGAAAGGATCGAGAGGGCTGGAGGCAGTACACTGGAAACAATGGGTCATCAGACAAACAAGGACATGGGCGTGGACGTGAGGAAAAAACCTGATGAGGAAGTTCATGGGATAGAAATGACCAATAAAGTTCAACAAGTTAAAGATTCAGAGGCACAAATCAATAACCAGAAAAGGACAGAACAAGGAGTAAAATTAGATACAGGAAAAGACAGAACGCAAGATGTTAGCACAAATCATGATGATAGTCCACCAGGTAGGACACGGTCAAACCCTAACAATTTTGCAGACGCAGAGGAAAGGACTCAAGTCATGAATCCTGATGCAACTCAGAAGACTGAGGAAGGGCAGCAAAGAAAAGTCAGTAACACAGAAACTCAGCTGCTCCAGAGTTCTAGAGGAGACAGTAGCATCTCACAAGAGGTCAAAAATCAAAATCCAGATGAAACAGTACAATCAGAGGAAATAACCAGCACCATCAGAGAAGATACAGAGCTAGGGCAAGCTCACAATCTTCCAAATTCTTTTGAACATGCGACTATTGTTGAAAGGGGTGCCAAAGAAGATGAAGACAAAGAGGTTGACTATTATCAAGTAACAGAAGAAGAGGGAGATCATTCTGGAGGATCACAAGATGCCAGAAATCAAAAATCAGATAACACTGCACAACCACAACGAAAAACCGACTCTATCAGAGAAGATAGAGAACAAAAGCATGTGGACAATCTACATGCAAAAATTGCTAACTTTAAAGTTGACAGTGATCAGGACATAGAAGAACAGACAGACAGTACTGCTGGCTCTGCTGCCAGCTTGGGAGAGGAGGGAGAGGATGGAGACCACAACGACAAGCCTGAATTTTAGTCTAACAGCAGTTCTAAAAATGCTAATGTTATGCTTCATTTAGAAGTCGATAGCAGAAAGTGTCATGTTTAAGATTAGCTTAGGGGAATACTTCCATTCTGCCCTCTTGCAGCTGTAAATTTTAACATTTGTAGCTTCTATTCACTAATAACTTTATGTCTCTTCAAACAACCCCATGTCCCCAATCAACACACCCATCCTCCCAACATAAGTGCACACAAAAAAGGAATTCATTCCCTCCTAACCAGATATTGGAAAAGGAACACCAGAAAAGCATAACCATGGATAAAATAGGGGAAAAGAAAGGAAACAAGCCTCCTCGTGTTCACCGGGTTAAAATTTACACCCATCCTCCCAACATAAGTGCACACAAAAAAGGAATTCATTCCCTCCTAACCAGATATTGGAAAAGGAACACCAGAAAAGCATAACCATGGATAAAATAGGGGAAAAGAAAGGAAACAAGCCTCCTCGTGTTCACCGGGTAAAGACACAAAATCTAGGCATTTAACTTTTAGAGCCATGGTTTGGATGACGAAGAATTAAGATTTAGAACATGTTCTGAGTAAATTAGGCTTTCTCGTACTGAAGACTAGTAGTGATAAGAATACAGATCTAAACAAGAACCCTTATGAATGTCTCATCACCGTCATTGAATATATTACTCTGTATCTGTAGTCTGACGACATGTTGAGTAGTTAAATCCCAGTGATACTACTTTGTAAATTTGTTTATGACAACGCCTCCAGATCACCTGACGTTCAAAATCTGCATGATATTTAGGCTATGGGATCTTGAAATGGATATACAGAATTTAGACAAAGCATAAGCAAGATGAAGATAGCAAAGAGAAGCAAATGGGCATAAACCACTCCATATAGTTTGATATTATAAGGAGATACTGAACTGATAATGGTGATACAACCAACTTTGTCTGCGACTTACTGGCTCAAAAACTCTCATTGTCATTTGTAACAATAGGAAGAAACCAATATAAAGAAAAGAAAGGAACTTATGTCATGTCCACCAATTGGATTATTAGAGAGAAACCCTCGGACCTGGGACTTGAAAAAATCCCAGTCTTGGGATAACACCTTGAAATTCACACCTTACTGTGCCGCTTGAACCAATGTCTGAAAATATAAGAAATAAATAGCATATAATTGTCATTACTCACAATGGAAGAAAACGCCACTTCCTGGGTAAGAAAGAGGGATATACAAATGAAAATGATTACTTTTCAGCATATAATCACTTTCACAAAGACCAAGACGCCACTATTTCTAGTATCAACTNCATTCTAACAACATTCTGCTAATAGCACTATTTTACCTTTCACAAGTATCAAGAAATCAAATTCAGTTAACAAAATAAATGCCAAATTTGACGTAAATTTTTTTAATAAACTAACAAGTTAAATTATATCTTAGACTCTACATCTAGTCAAATAATGTTTCATGAAATACAAAAGCGGTAATCTAAGTCGTTTTAGCATTATATGATAGGAAACTTTTGCCCCTACCCAATTATCCATCATAAATCGTGACTTCAGCTATATCTTTGCTATACAAGTACAAATTCAACTAGAATGTGACATTGTTCTTCAACTTTTCTTCAGTTTATTTGGTATTATTCATTAACCAAAAGTAAGAATTCATTTTCCACAAGATAGCATTTCCAGTCACATCTTATAATCTTATTTCATAGTACCAACCAAAGAAACCCCAATTCAACCAAGTTGGACCTAGTGGCATCTCACGCATTACAGAAATTGTTTTACATAATCTTATCAAGGCAAATGCACTTGGAAACTCAATAATAGGGTCTAAGCATGTGGGTTATGCCAAGGGATACCCATGAAGTTCTAGAATGCTGGAACAGATACAGTAGCTCCTCCAATCAGAAAGAGAAATGGAAGATTGTCCTAGCTTGCATTTGGTGACAATTTGGAAAGAGAGAAACCAAAGATGCTTCGAAGATAAATACAGCTCTATCCAGAAACTGAAAATGCAATGTTTATCCCTTTTCTATTTTTGGTCCAAGCAAGAATACATGGAAGATCTAGAGTCTTTTGTTGATGTTTTAGGATCCTTGTAAGTAGGTTAAGGCTTAATACACTTTTGTTCCACCTTTTGTAACTATGGATGATTGCACTAGGGTTACCTTCTCAAAAAAAAAAAAAGAAGAAAGGAATAGGGTCTGAGCAAAATAAAAAAGTGATTACTTGAATAGGCAACATATCTACAACAAGAGTCCTTAAACTTCTTCGATGCATGGGAATCTTTCCCAGAATAGTTGCATTAAGCTTGATTATATTTGATGTTAGTGAGCAACTGATCAAAAGAAGGAAAAAAAGAGAGACATTTGATATTAGTCATCATTCATAAGCTCTACTAAAAGATTGATCACTAATTGAGTAAAACATTAGCAAAGACGTGTATTTAACTAATGAATAATGGAAAGCACCTATTTAGTAATTCATAGAAACACTGCTTTTTGGGGAATTGTTTTCTAAAGTTAAAAACATATACACCAAGGCAACGTTTCAAATTCTAAACTTGTTCCTAAACGACCCTTAATCTTTTTTTTGCTACTGGTCCACACTGTTAGTATTTGCAAGAAGTAAATGGATAGAACATTCCTTCTGTTCTCGTTCAGTTAATAACTAAAATTCAAACTAGAATGATCATTCAAACACAAGTCTTCCTTTTTCTTCCCTTTGTTTTATACATCAGCTGAAAGGCATTTCTTAAGAAGCACCATGTAAAAAGAGAACCAAAGTCAAACAGGACTAATTTACTTTCTGAGAACTGAGATGAAAGTTGAGGGAAACAAATATAACTTAAAAAATGACAATAATATCTACCTTATTAAAAAAAATAACAATAACATCTATGCTGGCCAGCAGACCACCATCATCAGAGGAAAAAAAAAAGAATCTAAAGCCACTGCTTTCAGGAAGCACTAAAAAAAATGCAGGATTCTGTTTTCCTCAAACCCTGGATGAACAGTTCAAAGGTTTACAAACCACTTATTCATAGATTCTAAGGTATAGTTATTCAAATAATAGTGCATAAATAACTCATGAATTGTTATCATCCCATCTGACGCTATGAGATTTCCATGTATGGTCTTCAATCAATAATGCCATACTATAGCTCCACATAAGTATAGGAAAGTAAGCTACTACAGTCAATGACATTCCTCTATTCCTTAATCAGTTTTTAATGAACTGGGCTTAAAAAGCTCTACCAGTTGCAAATTGAACAGGTCAGTGTGATTGGAAGCAACATTACTCCTATAGGAGATTTGATTTATCTCCAATTCTTGGAATAGTTGAAAAACTGAAATGTAAAAGTACCAATCAGTGTTCAGGATTTCGAAGGAACACGTGAGTACCTCTTCTTTGTTCTTCTTGCCTCCGGTGAAGAGCTTGTATCCACCGTAGAAAAGCAAGCCCCAACCAGACAAAGATATAATCACAAACTGCAAGTTCAAGACATATAAGTTTGATATTTCAACTAATATCAAAAGGCTCGAAAGCATGTCCTATTGAGCAACAAAAAAGAGACAGATGATTCTGCGAACTGGAATTGTCAGCTAAGAGTGATAGAATATTACTCTTTATCTTCTGGAATTATATTTTTTCTTCATCTCTACTAAGAAGACATTTGGCACAAATATCTAGAGATGATTTAGGGAAATAGGAAGACAGGCAACACTATGAACTTTGCATTTTTAATTATATTTTCAAACCAATCAATATCCATGTTACAAACACCAAACTTGCACAATCATTAGTTTATTTAAGCTCCATGTATTTTACTCCTGATGAACACAAAATAACAAAAAAATGTACCCTAGAACTAAAGCATCAAATTAGAGAACTCACATGTTCTTCTTTCCATTGTGCGGGATTCATAGGTTCTTTCCAGCAATTGACCTTAGGTGGCCCGTGATGATCTGAAATTACATCCATTTTTTCAATATCATCAGTCACCGTGTCACACTCACACACACACACACACACACACACACCCCTACCTACATACATACACAAAAATGGTAGTATACATTCAGGGATCAGCATCCTTACATTAATTTCATCCAGAGCTACTGAGCCACATCAGAGAAATGATTGAATCGATCTAAAAGTTTAGAGAGAGGAAATGTGAGATTAATACCAGCAGCGCCGGCAAGGCCGCGGCGTTGAGCAAGAGAAGCTGGTTGAGTCGTAGAGCTTGAGATTGGGGAGCGAGTGAAGGTTGCGGCTCGACGAGCCGTCATCGCTGCCAATGAAGTTGCCATGGCGGTCTGCTTTTTCAGCTCTCAGTTATCTCAAATGGAAGCCGCGGAGATGCGGTGGTTAAAATCGATTTATCGACCAACGCTTAGAATTCGGCCCAAACGCCTTGCTTTTCATTTTTTTTCTGTCTGTGTTAGTTGTTGTTGTTGTTTTTTTTTTTTTTTTTTTGAGAAAATGCAAAAAGTACCCATTAAACTTGTCCGAAAAAATCATTTATATGCCTAAATTTTACGGGCGACCTTTTACCCCACTATTCTAAACTTAAGTGAATTTAATACCTCATTCAAAAT